ATGGACCCTGAAAACCACTGGTTGGTAGAGGAACACAATCTTCCAGGGGGCCCTTGCCAGGGTCCATGTTGGTTTTCGGGAGTGTAGGTTTGGGGATGTTTTGGTCACCTTTGCCTGCAAAAGCCCTTTTGGAAGGACTGCGACTCCGTTGGAGACAAGCAAGCTGGGACACAAGTATACAGTTTACGGCAAGCATCCCCCTTGGTTTTTCCATATAGTACAAAGGTATGTAGGACGCCAACAAAAGCTGACCATCCAATGGCAAAACTCATGGGCGTCGCTTGACGTGGTGTCTCAGGTCAAACATTCCCTGCGGGCCCGCACGACACCAGTGAGAAGACGCCAATGTGCTAGCAACTCAGCGATTCCTGTCCGAAGATGACACACCCGGGAAGATGAACAGGGGCCTTTGGAAGACGATTTTCCTTTACAAGCCAGTGGTTTTCAGCTTGTAGGAGCGGTCGAGAGGAGCGGTGTTGCCATGCGGTCCCAGCGGGTTCCGATTCTTCGGACGCGGAGACCATCAAAGATGGGCGCTGGACGTCTCAGACCGACACTGGAAGCATACCAGACCGAGAGCGGAGCCTGGGAGTCACCCAAATATATACCCAGGCCGACTCAAACTACCGAGGTTCAACGATAATCATGTGGGATGGTATCCTCCAGGTGCCGAAATGCCGAGATCAAAAGCAGAACATGGACGCGTCGAACGGTCTTGGCAGAACCTGCCCCAGCTGCTTGTAGTTTGAGGCGACCTTCTTTGTGTCTGGATCGCTCGGCATAGCCACGGCCACATCGCTTTCCCGGTCGAACTATTCAATGGATGGAACTGATGGAACCATCAATTTCTACTTCAGTGGTGTCTTCCAGAAAAGACTATAAGAACCAATGCGTTTGGCCAGAACAGTTTGATTTCACTACGTATTTGTCGCTTGCCGATTCAGGGATGATCAAACCTTGTGATGATCAAATGAGACCAGAACCCAAGTGACAACCTTTCTGGCCACTGTGTACCAGAGTTTGGCATTCTTCCGGCCACAACCATCATAACAGCCATACCGACACGGTCTGTTTGGAGCCGGCCTGGTAGTTACTCCAGACCAGACCGAGCTTGAGCGGTTCGTTGATTAACACTGCCTGCCACTAAGGATATATATATATATACTATTTTTTTGGGGGGGGCCTAAGGCGTCAAATCTTGAGCGCAAGAGAACAACATGTCATACAAAACGGTGACTTTTAAGGCTGGGGTAGGACTTTTGGAGTTATTTGTCTCACACTGTTTAAATATCATTCTGGATTTCTGCAACTTGCAGTGGCGGCACCGCCGAGAATCCATTTGTTCGTGCTGATAAGTTCACTCGGAGGGACATGTCAGATTCACTTTGAGCTCATAACCTCACAGATGACATGTTGTGCTGACTTGGCAGAAGTCAGAAGATTTAGCATGTGATACCATTTGGAGCTTGAACATTTGTCAGTTGGACTGCACTAGCAGCAAGTTGCTGAAGAAGCCATGGCAATTTTTGCCTTTGAATTACCACATACAATACATAGATTTTGACAACACATGACGAAACAGGACTCCGGTTGCAAAGGAGGAAACCGTAGACTGTCAATGGAAGCATGGGTCGCATCATCAGATTGGCATTATGCGCAGCTGCTTTGGCCTGCGCAGGTGCTTGCTGCATGTGTTTTGTGTTTTTAGGTTGTCATTTTAGGTTGTCAACAAGTTGACTTTGAGATTCCAATATGCAATTTTTGTGTGTGTGTGTTAACACTTATTTTCTTCCCGTCATAGAGTTAGTTTGTTTGTTCTGTTTGTCCTAGTTTGTTTGTTCTGTTTGTCCTTCAGGTTTACAGAACCCTTTTGGAGTTGGGGAAGCAGGAAATATAGGAAGCGTTTGCAAGGGAAGACGAGGGTTCCGAATAAGCTGATCACCGCAGAGACACGCCGAGCGGCACCTCAGACAGGATATGACGCCTTTGCGTGGCGCTAGGCTCAGAAAAGGCTCCTTGAGGAGAACTGGTTCGTTGAATGCTAGTTCGTTGCTGGAATGAACTGTCCTGGGACCTGTGGTTTTTACTGCAGAACGATGCCCATCAACTCATATGCTGCTTCATGGTGATTTGGGAGAGGGGTTGGGCCATTCAGAACTGAGGGGCCAAGATTTCAACTGGGCCGTGTGGGAGGATTTAGGATCAAGCACAATGCTGCACCCTCACTTGCTTCCAGTTCCTCATCTCATATTGTGAAATATTTCATAGTATTAATATTCCAGCACTTCAGGGCAGTCGTCTGCATGGTGATCTATGTTGAGCCTGAACTGTCAAATTTGTTTTCTATATAATTCGGGCATGTTCAGCTTGTTTTTCTGATGGCTGACTTGGTTATTCTAAAGGCTGATCGTTGGGAGTGTGGCACTGAGTATGCTTGTTTGAAACATGTTGGCCGAGGCTCTGAAAACGGCACCTGACTGCCACCCAGTTGGAAAGCACCCCAAAGAATGATTTGACGGCGATGGTCCCTGATAGAATCCAATGGAAGAAACAGGATGGTGTTTGCCTTGCCAAACCCCTTTTTGTATCCCTTTGGGTGTGCTCATTCAAACATAACTATCATAGTTACCTTTTGACATGTTCATCTACACGTCCACTCCGATGTGAGGCCTAACCGACCGATCAACAAGCGCTACAGCAACATCCGGCCGAGTGTGCCGACGCCCTCGGACGAGTCAAGGGGTTGCGACGGAAGGATCTGGAAGGCATGTTGCTGTTGATCCAGACCTGAAGTGAAACATCAGACTGAACATGACTGAAGGCCTTCAGCCTAATCGCGATGGCCTCCAACCTAGCAGCGATGGCCTCCACCCTAGTAACGATGGCCTCCATCATAGTAACGATGGCCTCCACCCTAGTAGCGATGGCCTCCAACCTAGTAGCGATGGCCTCCAATCAAATACGTCTAATAGCAATGAACAAGCAGCATGTTTGTGTTTTTGGTCAAGTGGAAACCACTAGTGAAAGCCCAACTGACCAAGCATTTTGAATTGAGCCAATCCTGCTAGTAGCCTTTTGTTTGGAAGCCAGGGCCAAGCTAACCAATGGATGTCACTTGTCAGTCATGTACTGTACCACGCTCTTCCTATATCGTGAATTTAAAGTAAGTTAAGTTTATTAATGTGCCTTGTGGCAATTCCCGTGTATTTTGTGACTGACTAGCGGTGTACACGGCGGACACTCCATGGACGTTCGTCTTTCGACGGTACGACTCTGGAAGATTGCACGTCCTTGGTGATGTTCTCTTTGCAACGTCCTCCCAGTGGATCGCCGAATTCACTCTTGTGGACCACCAAGCAGAACATGGCAGAACATGGCAGAACCCATTGGATCTTCACTTTTAGTGTACCTGTTCTTCCTGTGGCATTTCACGCTCCGGAATACCTGGTTCCCCCGAGTAAGTCGGTCTCGATTCCGAGGCGAAGCAAGCAGGCCTTGATCGCCAATCTCCGGGACTGGGGTGAACCTCGGGGCCGGGGTGAACCTCGGGGCCGCTCGAGCAGCCAGGCTTGTGGCGCTTGTACCAGCTGCTTCCGTTCGGGTCAATGGATATCTCCACACTACTTATATACAGGTCTCCAGACCTAAAGCACCCCGACAGGAAGCGCGCCCGGTATGTGTCCATCTGGGATGGTCGTCCATGCACAATATATGACCTACGATGACCTGCCCTACCCTTGGGGATGGTGCGTGTCACCCTGATAGATCCTCTAAACTCTAAACCCTCCCAAATTCCGGCCCTATAGCTGAGGTCAGAAAATGATGTCTTTGCAAGCTTGGATATGTTATTTTTGTTTTTTGTGTGTTTTAGATAAGAAAAAACAGGTGTACCAAAGCACTTGCTTCCTATGCATTTGGACCTCATCACTTCACCAAATGAACACAGACATTATAATGTCATGTTTTTGGATCAATTTGATCAGCCACTTCCACTGAATCGTGCACTGAATTGCAGTGCTGCCCCTGTGCTCCTCACCACCTACCTGCCCCCTGTCCAGGATCCTCTATGCAGAGCCAACAAGGCACGCTGGTCCATCGAGCTGATGAGAGCGTTCGGCGCCAAGGGGCTCCGACCGACCGTGGGACGTGGCCGCCCAAGTAGCCTCCCTTGGCTTGGCTGCCCTTGAAAGGCAACCAACAAGGAGTTTGGCCTGATCAAGATGTCATATGTGTGTGGCTGTATTGTTGTGGGTGGACAGTTCCTTTTATATTGGAGCAATGATGAGCAATGTATGCAAGGGATGAAGATGACACATTGTTTGTTTGTTCTGTTTTGTGTGTGAGGCTCCATTTTTCCAGAGATCTTACAGGGGGAACATGTTTGCATCGTGGCATATGAAGACCTTTGGTGTTCCAAGTGCAGAGCTTTATTACTGTATGTTCTATTGTTTGCAATAGTAATACGGTAGTTGTTTTCATGGTGTTTCAAGAAGATATCACAAGAAAATGGGTCCAACAAAGCACTCCAAACTAGGTTGACTGCCCTGCATTGTTTGCTCATGGTATTGCTATATAGGTTGTGTTACTGCCATTGTGGGTATGAACATCGTGTGGAACATCCTTGACCACGTTTTTCAGTCCCAAAAGTGCGAGCATGTCCAGATTCTTTCACTTGATTTGGGTGTCCATCCCAGTGGAACGCTTCAACTTGACAGCACCAATACAGAAAGCAGGTTGTCTATTACAGGAAAGATCGACAGGGTAGGGAATCATGCTGCCGGTCGTTCCGCGCACCTGGGTGGATTGAGAGTGGCACCTGGCACCCCAGTCGATGTCTTTGATTCTTGGGGTCCAGGGGTCCATGATTGCACCACCTTCACTTGGGGTGCCAGTGCCATCGAACCTCTCAACCCACGTGGTTTCAATATGTCAAGTTGACCAACGTGGTCAACTGAGAGTCTTCAGTTCGGGGGCTGCACATTGCCACGTAGCTTTGACCCATGGCGAGAGCGGATGTGAGAGATGAAGACAATGATGGCACCTTTGGCCGGCCCTGGCCATCGAGTGACTTGATCGGTGCAGCTTCGGCGGAGGTTCGGATTGACTTGATCGGTGCTGCTTCGTATCATCTTCGAGTCTTTAACCTGGCTGGAGAGCTGGTCTTAGAACGAACGATGCCAGAGGTGCAGTCCATGTTGGTCGAGGACTTGGTGGATCATCTTGGAAGAATGATGAAGGTGGCATCCCACCGGCTGTCCTTGCTTCAAGGGACAAGTCAGCTGGATCCAAAGGCGAGTTTGCCACTCAGCTGTTTCAATTATCTTTTTCTCGGAGTGAAGATGTCAAACAAAAGGGTGCTAAATTGACGTTTTGACATGAAACATTCTGAAACCATCTTTGTTTGCATGTCTGATTTCCTTCGTACTTCCTGCGCAATTTCAGGCATACACTTTGGCCTCCACTCAGTGACATGGATCTTCAAGTCTTGCTGGGACCTTTGGATTCTTCGCATGTGCCCATTGATCCAGGTCGGATTTTGCACGTGGAGCGCTCAGATCGAGCGGCAGCCCACGCTGCCGCGGAGCTGGGCTTGTCAGTGCAGTTTGAGCCGGGAGAAGTGCGCGAGGCCGTGTACCAGGTGGGCGCGGAAGACAGAAACACAGCAGGACAACTGAATCATCCTGGCAATTTGTGTAATTGGTGTAAGTGAAACATTCAATCAAGTCACCTTACACGTTTTCCTGGTCTCTTTGAGCAAGTTTGCTCTTAATCTTATGTCATTCATATACCTTCATTCAGTCAACCTGTTTCTTGAAGTGTTTCTTACAAGAAACACACATATTTTGTCGCACAAACAGCTGAGGTCAAGTGCCATCATGAGATCGTTGTTTCTACTCCCTGCCTGTTTGAACACGACACATGGCGAGTTGAGCGCCACAAAGCTGATGAAGCTGATGCGGGAACTCTGACCTTTGCAGTGGAAGAGGAGAACAAGCGCGCTTCCTTAGCCATGGGCTTTTACGAGCTGTTCTTTAGCACGCTAAACACCACTTTGTTGGTCTCTTGATGTCTCTTCAGATCCCCAATTTGAAGAAGATGTGACAAAGTCATTATATAGATGGAAACACACCGGCATTTTTTAGTCAGTGTTATTTCCTCCTTTGGCCAAGTGAGGATCATGTACTACAGCTCTGTAAAAGTTGTGTCGTGGGTGACGAAAGACTTTGAGCACGAAGTGTTGGGTAGGGCCTCCTCAGCTGAGTTGACATGTCGCGCTGCCAAGCTGAGTGGGCTTTGTAAATTGACCGTGCTCATGATGAGCTACTGGATAGTCGTATGTGTCAGTGTGGTTTCTGCACTTTGTTTAACCATTGTCGCAGGCAGTCAACAAAATATGTGGCAGTGCATTTCTTTGGCTGCAACGCTGTGGCTTCCAGGCTTTGTGTGGACATACAGGTATCATTGCTTCCTTTTGGGAAGAAAATGTGTTGGTATTGGTGCTATCCTGGGGCTTCCCGTTTGCGTGCTCAGCTGGTGTTGCGGTGTGATTTGGCTCTGGGCGCCAGCTGCAGTGATGCTTTGGAGTGTACTTTTTCCTTTGGCCCCCTCCTGCAAGCTCATGTGTTTGCTTCTGCGAGTGAGCGGCTGCCATTCTTGGGATCCACCCTATCCCATCCAGACTCAGTCCTTCACACTCTACGAGATCTACGCACGTGATCTGGGCAGAGGGTTTCATCAACAACCGCACCACTGTTCTGTTCTTTGTTTGTTTGAACCAGGCTGAGGCAAAACAAAGGACCATTCAAGATGGGTCCACCAATATATAATATATATATATATACTCGACACAGCAGCGTGGAATTGTTGAACTATATTGAACTAACGACATTTGGGTTTGTTCCCCTGCAAAACTAGCTTAGACCTTGCTGTTGTTCAGGTCAATGATTTGCCATGTCTCTCAGACATGGAGCTTTACTTGTAGCCCTTTGTCACCTAGTCCAGCACTAAGGTGATCTTCAAATGTGGGGTGACGCTCCACGAGTCCTGTTGGTGATCGGAATGCACATCAGTAGCTTTCCACCTTCAAATGACACTTGGTCGTTCTTAGACGTGACTGTCATCTCAAGTTCTTTGCTGTCCCTTGTGTTCTCACTGGTCCCTTTTCGAAGAAGATTGAGAAGGGAGACCTGGCAGTATTTTGATGAGACCATCATGGAACTGGTGTCAGACTAAAGATGAATTGCAAAAGGTTTCAATGCCTGTCGTTTCGAAACCAACTGCCCAAAGAGGCAGGGTGTGAAATCCTTCTGAAGTGATCAGAAATGGTTGCACAAGACATGTAGCAGCTCTCTGAAGCTTGTTTGGTCGCGTTTAACACTGACACCATGCAAAGTAACTTTACTCCTACTTTTTACGTGAGGTTGAGCCGAAGAGAAACGCCTCTGAAAATTTATCCCTTTCTCACTACATATTCAGTAGAGGAATGTGGAGGACCATTCATGTGCTTCCCTTGAAGGGCACCAGAAGTGGAGAGAATTGATTTCCCTCCTCAATCAGCAGCTTGTCGGCTGGTCGCTTCCGCGACATCCGACTCATTGTTCCTTATAGTGCCCCCTCCATAGGGCCACGGCCAAGGGTCATTGTGTGGGTTTTTAATTGTTTGACCTGTTCGACGACCTGGGGATTTTGTTGCGTCCTGTTCTTCAGTTCAGAGTCATCCACATCTTTTTCCGTCCAGAGTCATTCGGAACATGAGACAGCCAAGCAGCTCCCATTGCATGCCCAGCAAAATCCTTGGAAAAGGGGGACCACCCAGAACTTGTCACAGTATCAAGATGCATCACAGAGTCACTGGAAGTACTACCTGTACCAATGCATAGAATGCATAGGTCCTGGTCCATAGGTTCTAAGTCCTTCAGTTTGTTTGCAGACTACGTTAAATATACAATACATGAAGACACAAGTATTTACTGCACATCTACGGTCCCTCAGCTTTGATCATCCGCACCATGGATGGAAGAAGCCTTTCAATCCGGCCTGGACTGGAGCGTCGGATCCCTTTTTGGATCACAAGAGCACCAGCTGTGAACTCTGGCAGTTCCTTTTCCGGGTGGGAACTGACTTGGCGGTCTTGCTTTATGATTGGTACCTTTGTTCGACAGGCCCCTCACTTTCTCCTATTCTAAATCGACACGAGATGTTGATTTAGCTCAAAGTCTACCAGCTGCGATTCTGTGGATCCACAGTCCCTTTTCTTCCACCCTCCCCCGAGGCGTAAGCTCCTCACCACGAATTGGGAGTATGTGTGGATCAGCTCAGATGGGAAGTCCGGAGGGGAGTCCATGCGTACGCATGTGCTCAACTGGGATCAGTTTGCTTGCCAGAGTTTTGGCCGGTGCATGTCCTCTTGACCCCCATATGTACGAATCTCAACCGGGTTTGTGGCGGAGGCTGCATGTAGCTTGTTGCCCGAATTTGCTGCTGTTTGTTCAACTCACGGCAGCAAAGACCAGCAAAGGACTCCGAATTGTTGTTGTTCTTTTGTTATTGTTCTTGTTCTTGCACATTTCACAATGGTTTTATTTTGAAAATGGATATGGCCAAAACAAGCAAGTGGAACAGTTGCCCCTTATTAGTGGCTTAAGCCTGCTTTTTGTGGCTGTTGGTCACAAGGAAAAGTGTTCTTCTTCTTATTTCGGCCTGATTCGAAGTCCAAAAAAACTTCTCTACGCATTCTGTCATGGGTTTCCCACTACGCTTATCATATTACACCTTGGGGTGCTGGGCAGCCGTCCTGGTCCCAGAACCCCTGGTCAGCAGTCCTTGTGGTTGTTGGGCCGTTCGTTGGGCCGCTACGTTGCTAGGCCCCATGTGTTGCGGGCAGTTTCCTGTCCCATGTGACTGCATGTGAGAGTTGGAACAACCGTGGTGGAAAGACGATGCCAATGGCTCCATATGGTACTCATATGCCCATCCTGAAGATCAAGAGTGGTTAGCATTTGATTGCTACTGCGTTTCGGGACACTCGGGACGATGTGTAGAGGGTCTTGACGCGTGGGGGCAGGGATGTGTCTGAAGACGCCAGCGCCGCCAGGCCACTGGTTGAGCCGAACGCCGAACGCACCGTGGGTACCGTGTAGTGGACTCCTTTCCCCCCACCGAGTGGTAGGGACCGACCCATCGGGCAAAGGGCACCGGCACACCGAGGTGCGCCATGAAAAAAATGACAGAGGTGGGGTGGTCGAAGGGCAGCTGTTTCAGCACGGCCAGCCTTTGAAGGACACATGCGTAGCAGCTAGGGGTGCCGAACTTGGAGGATAGGGTTGCCCAGAACATCCACCCTCTCACTTACAAACTAAACACCACCCCTTTGTGACTCCTGGTAGTTTCGTTTGATTGCTTTGGTTTAGAGTCTTGGTCAAGACTTGGTTTCAATGCCCAGATGGTGGCAGGGTGCTTCAACTCGAGTTGAAGCACCTGCGGTCTCCGACCGCCTGTCGAAGTGTCTTGAATACCTGGAGGCCTCAACGAAAAGCACTTGGTCAAGCAGTTCTATTTCTTTCATCGAAGAGTGTGATGTTCCCTAAATTTGTTGCAGATAAAAGAGGTCTATGAGTCTATGAGCTCTCACCATGGTAAAGGACCTTTACACATCTTTACACAAGTATGCCATGGTTCGGGCTAGTCCAGTAACGCAAAGTGCATCATCATATCATTTATATCCGGAGCATTCCCAGAAAGGTCCTTACAGCTTCACGTGCCATGACTGGACCAGACTGGATCAGGCCTGATCCCTGCTGTAAAAAACAACCGTTTGCATTCAGGTGAAGTGTCCCAAGGAGTCCATCGAACTTTGGGAGGAGATGCGTGCCCTTCAGCTGCAAGAGACTGGCAGAGCCTTTTTTGGTGCAGATGCGTACCCTCCTGAAACATACCGTGCACATCCGTTCCTTTCATTGATGGTGAAGAAATCCAGGAACCCAGGCAAAATCTTCCACTTCCCTAAACCCTAAACCAGGGAGTGTTGTATGTTTTTCCATATCATTCCCACCACGAAACACCGCAATAGTGGGTCATGACCCACCGTGTCCCTCCTCCACCGTCACCGGATCCCACCGGTAGGTCCGACCGAATTCATCAGACGGTGGGGACGGGGTGCGTGGGGACCGTCAGAAGTGTCGAGGTCGTGTGGAGAAGCTGCGCGGTGCGTGGGGTCGAGTGTGGTTTCCGGAACTATATGTATATTCAACAAGATGAGGAAACACCCGACCATCCTTAGCATTTGGTATATTTGGTCCGCTCAACACGGAAGACTGGAATTAAAGGCTGTCGCAGCCCAGTTGGTTATATTTTGTGGGGAGTGCCTTCAACATGTCACGAAAGGTAGCTTGAGCTATAGTTCTCCTTGCTTTAGCAAAAATGTATTACAATCAGGAGTTGGGATTGTGCATTGAGTTTGGTCCTGTAAGAGATGATTCTGTATTGAGTGGTTATTCGGGCCAAGCTCATTTGACATTCTTATCTCACAAACTCAGAAATAAAGCAGTTTCATGTCAGCCCCTAAGTTGAGGGCACCCTTTCAACAGGTTCCATGGCACCCTAAAAAACCCCGCCCTGCCACATCGCTGATGGGGGCTCAAGTCGTTTCAGCATTCCTGGGCTCAAGTCCCACATCCCAACTTCAGGGGTTTTCTCTGAAGCTGTTGAATACCATGAAAGCTCTACCCCAAACAGCACAAAACAACAGGGCGGTTGAGTTTGCTTCAAAGCTCTAAGCTCCTACCTTCGTTTAGCTCCAAAAAACGCACGCGCCGCGCGCACTCAGGGCAGGGGCATGGATGAGTGAAGCTGGCGTTCTTTCCACGCGTTAGTTGTTTGGTCGGGCCTTGGACGTTGTTGTTGTCGTCGTTGTCGTCGTTGCTTTTGTTGTCCGTGTCATATGTGTTTTCGATATGCTAAGACTTGCTAAGACTGCTAAGAAAGCTTCAGCTGTTTTAATATTCCCATGTTAGTTGGTGTTTTGGAACATCGCTCCAGCTCAGTGTTAGATCATCGACATTTGGCTTCAAACAAATCGGTGGAGGCGAAGCAAGTGTTATCATGTGTTATCAATAAATTACCTTCCAACTGCTTAAACAACATGTTTTCCTAGCCTGGCAGCATTATAACCCCTATATTCATCGTAAATTCCTGGACAACAGGTTTCTCACGGTAGAGCCAGCCTTGTGGATTCCATACAAAGAACCAAAGAAACCTCATGCATTGTATATCGGTGCCAGGACACCTGCCACCTACACCGCTGCAATCGTCGCCTACAACACTCAGGGCTGGTGGCAGAAGGTACCAGTCTTCCCGTCGATCGCCTTCACGGCGTACGCATGCGTACGCATTGGGCACAGGGTCAACTCGGGCCAGAACAGGATCCCTGTTAGGCAACGGTCCTCTCTACGCACCTGGTGAAGCTCTTCCTTCGGTCGAGTTCGACCCGAAAAACCATGCAGCAGTTTCGGCCATGCGGCCCGTTGTTTCAGGCTGTTGAGACTCTGGACGAGATGATGCAGCAGAATATGGTGGGGGGCGGCCGTATGGGCGCATGGATTTCGGTTCGAAGGAAGACTTTGTGGATTTGTCCACTCCCATGAGCAACCTGTGCAACTGCAAAGATATTTGTTCTGGCTCAAAGAGCGAGCTCAACTCCGATGGTACCGGTATAGTGGTCTTTTTTGGGCTTCCTCCTTCATATCTTCGGTGCTCGGAAAGTCCACATGTCCCATGAGTTTTCTGTAGGATTTCCCCATGACTTGCATTTCAAGATAAACGTTAGTGCCATCCTGATGCGCAGCGGAACGCCCCAAGCACTGAAATCGATTCTGTGAGCCAGTCAAGTAACTGTACCATCCGTCATGTCCAGTTGAGCCGGTGAAGGAATTGTATTCGGCCCAGCCCAGAGATTTTGGGGGGGTTGAATGAATTGAAACCATAATTTTATCCTCGAGTCATTCACCAGGGCAGGGTAGTACATAGGGCATTGTACAATCACGACACATTGGGGAGCAGACATCGAAACAAGTTCATGATGTCTCACATCAAACCGGCTTCCTTGGATCCCCTTCCGACAGAGCTGCACAAGATGCTGCACGGCCTTGATCCGTTTCTATCAAAGAAACGTGCGGAGGAATAAAGACAGAGCAGGAAGAAGACAACAGCAACCTCACAACATGGCATTGCGTGTT